TGTGAGTCGCCATAACATAGTGCACCACTACAAAAGGAAAAAAAAAGAAAGTGCACTTGAATAACACGAGGAACAAGGGAGCTGCCATCTTAGTTCATTCAGGAGATTAACCTACAAATAAGCCACATACGTTTAGGCTGTGGAGTTAAGGGCCTATCAAAATGCTGCCTGCGATGTCTTCTAAGTGCTTTGTGCCTTTCATTGCGCCTTGGTTCAGGTCCTGGGGAACTATGAGCTAAAAACACATGAGCTCAACATATTACAGAAGAACATATTCAGATTAAAAATAATAGTCACTTGACAGCCCTAATACAAACATAACAAATATAGTCACATTCAGAGACAGACAGACATTATTCACATCAGTATGATTTTTTTTTTTTCCCCAACCCTGCATACACGCACCTATTTCCACTATCTCTGAAGAAGTGTCTGTGTCTTCCACTATTTCCTCTATGAAACTTGGCCTGCGTGTGTTTTTCTTTTTGGGAATGGGGTCTGCATTTCCTCTAACAGACTGACTGGAGCTGTCCCAGACCTCCACACCACTCTTCACAACATGTTGGAAAGGCTCCACTGTAACTTCTAAAATACTGTCATGATCATAAAATTAACACAAAAATCAGATCACAAGGTTTCAATTCAATGGAGCACATTGTATAAACACTTACCAGTCATCACTGTCATCTGTAATTTTAAGACAGTTTCTCAAACTGTCAACAAGACTGTCCATTTGAAGACTACAGCTATATATAAATACAAACAAAATGAGAGAGAATTTAGAATGCATGTAAAAGCAACAGAGCTGTGTGCATCCATTTTTGTGACAATATTAATTGCATTCTGGAGCTCTTATACTAATGGTGTACAATGGTACCCTACCGGAGTCCTGAATGCAAAGACATAGAGCTCATGTCGTATGATTCAGCATCCACTGGAATGTGTAGTGTCTCCAAAATCTGAAAGCAATTAAAACAAAGCAAAAACTGAGGAGAAAATACATGATACTTTGAACATTTCTTATTTTGAGATGCATTTTAAACACAAATATACAGGGGTTAAAGCAAAAAAAAAAAAACCCTGGGGGGGATTTGGCATTATTCAAACTGATTTTTTTTCATGAATACATGATTGAACAGAAGAATGAAAGCTATATCGTACACTTGGAAAATTACAAGCTATATCACCGCTTATCGACACTAGGGGTGTGACAATACACTTGGCTCACAAGATTAGACAAAATACAGATACTTGGTTCACTAGAACGAGACAATATTTTAATACTATTAAATTTTCAATTACAAAATATTTGTCTTTTAATTACAAAACGCAAAACGCAGTTGTATTTTGAAATATTTTAACTAATCTAGGGCTGTAACTAATGATTATTTTGGTAATCAAGTAATCTACTGATTATTTTGACAATTGAGTAAACTGATATTTTTTAGTAATACAAATAGACCTATGTGAAAACCAGGCTTTAGTATGACCATTTATATATAAACTAACGATGAGGCAATAATAATTGGCTCAAATAAAATATCAAAACCAAGTAATTACATGGTTTTATTGAACAACGCTGATAAAATACATAATGTAATATGCCTATACATAATATGAACATAAAGTACATTATGTGTTATAACAAATACCTGCAGAGGGTGCCAAAGGCCTGGTGATGTTTCACTTTACAGCGTGATTAAACCATGTTTAAATCCACTTAATTTGAATATTTGGCCACATGCAAACTCCAAAATTTATATTTTGAAATCGCGATGTACAATAAATGGCATATTTAGAAATAGGTTGATGTATTCTCCTGTATTGGCAAAGGTTTAAATGATTTACGTTACAAATCTAGTGAGATAATGCACACTGTTTTCCCAGATGAACGTTAAGCAATTAAAATTCACAGCAAATGCAGAGGAAGAGTCACACATACAGTCTTTACTGGTAAATTACCAGTAAATTACCATTAAGAGATAGAGATCATGTGTAAACAGGACCTTTTAAAAAAATCCCGGTAAATTTGTTCTGGCAACCATATCGTTCTTATGGAGATGACATGATTACTCTGAGCTGTTTACAAAGCTCTGCTGCATTTTAATTAGTTTTTCTATGTAAATAGGCCTATGCGCTATATGGACATCTTTGACCATTGCGCCTCGACGTTCCCTTTCATGGGAACTTCGAACTGCATCCTCTAGGTTTCTCCATAGCGACCCCTAGAGGACGCAGTGTCTCGTTCCCTACTCAGGGAAGCATGGTTACATAAGTAACCTGAGACGTTCCCTTTCATGGGAACTTCGAACTGCGTCCTCTAGGTTTCTCCATAGCGCCCCCTAGAGGACGCAGTGTCTCGTTCCCTACTCAGGGAAGCATGGTTACATAAGTAACCTGAGACGTTCCCTTTCATGGGGACTTCGAACTGCGTCCTCTCGGTTTCTCCATAGCGACCCCTAGAGGACGCAGTGGCTCGTTCCCTACTCAGGGAACCATGGTTACATAAGTAACCTGAGAAGTTTTTTTGTCGCGCTTCTCCATTCAGCAGGGCTGCGATGCGCCTCTTGTGTTTATAAGAGCAAAATATTCTGATTGGCTGGTAATGTTAGTTTGGTTGAGAGTGAAAAAGCTGTGCTCCTCTCACACCATTGGTAGGCGAACTCATGGACTCGAAAGTGATATCAACAAGTTTTTTTTTAATGTAGGATTATTTTTTTCCGCAGCCAAACGCTGCCCTGTATATATACTGTATATATAGATAGATAGATAGATAGATAGATATATAGATTGATAAAGATTAAGTATTAACCCGACCTTTTTCCAAACACGACGGCCTGAGTCTCTATCATCCTAGCAGCATCCTATATACTACATTACCCAGAAAGCATTGCAATAAGGGCCGGACACCGGCGCTACAGAGTCACTTCATGCAAGCTGCTGACTGTAGCCCTAACTTTAATCATTTCATTTTTGCCGAGGCTAGCAAACAAACTACAGTCAATGTGCTAGTTTTAGTATTGTTTAAATCTCTCTATAATAAAATTAAATATAGACGTCACGGCGCGTCAAATAAATAACGTATTGTTGGTTAGTTCTTTAAAGTTTTAAAGGGGCTTAGCTTCTATTAGCATAGCATCAGCTAACAGCTGCGTGTATGTGTGCGCAGTTAGCCTGTGGCCGAACTACCTGGTCAAGAACCATCCCGCACTACAACTGACAGTCCGATCCGATTCGTTACTTTCGTGTGAAGAGTGGATAAGCTCTCTGCCAAGTCAAATGTAAGAGTTATTTTTATATTGGCTGCTTTTTCGAAGTGGTGGCTGAGATTGCTGCTAGTCCATCAGAATGTGTGGTTTAGTTTTGCATTCTGTCAGGACTGATAACTTGATTTTAAAATGCGCACGAGATCAGCGGCTTTGCTATTAAATTAAACCGTTTACAAAACCATTTATAAGCTAGAAACGGTCAACTGTCTGAATTGAGTTTGGTGTGCTAACCTGGTGGTCTGATGAAATCAGGTTGCCACCTTTAATGTCTGACATCTGTAGGATTAGATCTGTTACATGGTCAACATAAAAACGCTTTGTTGTGCAACTTAACTTTAAAAGATCTAAACCCTCAGCAAAGCAAACTAATCCTGTTGTGCTGGAATCTCAGTAGTTTGCAAAGTATACGTGGTCTAGTTGCACAAGGCAAGATGGCAGGCTGATGATCAACCCTCATGACTCACTTTATTCAACCAACCCAACTACACAAGTCAGAAAAGTTAGAAATCCTTTAATTAAACAGTGTCTGGTTTAGTGTTGAGGCATTTCTTTCCATCAGGCCTGTACACAGCCTTCCAAAGTTGTTCAAATCTGTTGAATGTCTTAATACCATTTTGTGGAATCATATTATGTGGGTTGTTTTTGCATCTGGCACATATGATCTTTTATTCCAGGTTGAGGTTTTACTGAACGGTGGCCAATGGAACAGGACAGCAACTCAGAGGTATAGAATTAAGAACTTGTATGTTTTGTCTTGTTTTGTCTTATTTGGCAGGGTGAGAAATGTACTAGATATGTTTAGAAACTAATTTATTTGCATGACAATAGAGGTTTATCTGTAATTATTAGGGAGGGTTTGATTCAAGCCATGAACACATGCCGCTAAATGGAAATCTGTGGTTTGTAAAAGGAAAACTCATGACAGTGATAAAGTTTCCTGTGCTTTTTATTCACTTTCATTATGGTTTAATGTACGTGTAGTCTCTTTAGTGCCTTCTTGTGGGTACTGAAAGTATTGGATAATCATCTTTTGTTTGTTTAGGTGGGCATTTCCCACATTAATAAATATGCTCAGCATTCTTTTGTTTTACTGAAGCTTCACAACTGCTTATGATATCACTCGTCTGACCTGGAAAATGAAATGGCAGTTCCTCAAAGTGAATGCCAAGCTTGTTCGTACCTGTTTTGTGTACAGTACATTTTCAGAATGTTCATGCAGTGAAATATGTAGATTTATAATGCATATTTTTTGTTTGTAGGATGACTCAGTTGGACCAGCAGAAGATGATGCACAACCTCCGTTTCCTCTCGGACTCTGTGAGTAATCTCTGATTTAAAGTTAAAAAAAAAATAATAATAATTCTTTCATATGATTTTGTAAGAAATGGTGCTGTGTAGTCCTCAATATTAATCTTATCAACAGAGATGTTATACTGTATTATAAAAAAAAAAAAAAACTCCTGTCCAGTGGCATTTTCATTTTTAATGCAGGAGGGTTGTAAAGATTTCAAATGTTATAATATGCCATGTATCGAAAACCAAAATTAATTTGTGGCCATTTTGTATTTTAGTTAGTTTTGAAGTCTTCATTTATTTTAGTTTCTATTTTCACAGTTAAATTTGTTATTTTTTATTTTACTGATATAGCACATTTAGTTGTTTAACTAGTTTAGTTTTAGAAAATGTAGCTAATTTTAAAGGGGTCATATGATGCGATTTCAAGTTTTCCTTTCTCTTTGGAGTGTTACAAGCTGTTAGTGAATAGATAAGATCCCTAAAGTTGCAAAGACTAAAGTCTCAAACCCAAAGAGATATTCTTTGGGTTTTGTCCACGCCCTCCTAAAACGCCTCATTTAAACACGCCCCCACATGTCTACGTCACAGTGTGGGAAGATTTGCATAACGCCGCCCTAATGTTCACGCAAAGAAAGAAGGCGTAACATTGATTCTCGCTGTAGTATTGTTGCTGCCGCAGCTGCCATATCGTGGAGACGCTGTGTTTAGTTGTGAAAGCGAAACTACTTTGTTTGGTCTTCCAAAAGAGGACACAACTAGAATTCAGTGGTTAAGTTGTATTTACAATGCTGTTCCAGCACAGTTCAAACCAAATATTCGTGTGTGTGCAATGCATTTTATGGAGGACTGTTTCCTGATCCTGGGACAGTAGCCTACAATGCCGGCTGTTCTGACTCACAGACTGTAAGTATGTTTTCATATTTAAAGGATTTGCCACTGATGATTCAAATGCGAGTTTTGAGCAGTGTAGAGTAGCGCTTGTTGTTTGTCCTTTTTCCGATCATAAATGCAGACATGGTTTTATGTATATGCGGCCAGTGTTACTTTCGTTGACAAATAATTTGTCATAATTTTCGTCAACAACTAATTTTTTCAAAGACGATAACGAGACAATAACAAACTAAATGAATGACATTTTTGTCAATGAATAAAAACGAGATGAAAATGTTAGGGAGGGACGATTTGAGAAGAGATTCATTCAGAACGAATCTGCTGTGTGGTTCGGAGGTTAGATGCGTACATATGAACCAGCAGGACATAAGCTAACATACACTTGCTGCATGTCACATAAAACGTTCAAAAATGTCAATATATGGGAGTAAGAGAATAGCAGACCTATGGATAAATCTGACGACGCAAGAGAACTCAATTCAGTCTGGTTTTCTGAGCACAGACACTGAAGCATGCACACACAGAAAGCTCGTCTCACAGCGCGCGAGTACTCTTTCGCGTTGCATGAACGAAGAATTACACACAAAATGATGTCGAATGGTACGTTTTGACGAGTATTCACGTAAACACAGTTGATTACATCTTAAGTGAACGTAAACAGTAGGGAGAACGTGTCGGTACATTGCATCCATTGCAGCTGTGCATTCGGTTTTAAAGGGATAGCACATAGCAGCCTAATTTAGTTGCTATTGTCCGAGTCATTGATGTTAATCAAGCAACAAAAGAAAGACAGAAAATCACCCACTGCTCTTGACTGAAAAACTTTGGTAGCCCTAAAGATGAATCTAAATTTATTTATAGAAATAAATATGTCTGCTTGAAAGAATGAAGAATATGGTAAACAAGTTTCTATAAAGAATGCATAATTAGCCTATATAACCATTGGTATTTCATTAAAAAGAACATGTTCTTGTTCTTTATGAGAAGTGGTTTTATTTAATTTTAACATAAAGGCATGTTGTGTGTCACCACAGTTAAATCTGTGTCTACCATGATAAAACCGTAATATCAAATCTATATGAGTTTGGAAATTTTAGAGAAATGCTTAATAAATGCACTGTAACTAAACCCATTAGATTTTAGCCGATTAAATTTACTGTAGATTTAGTCGACTAAAACTAGACTAAAATTAAAAACAATTCAGATGACTAAAATATGACTAAAATTAAATGGCATTTTAGTCAAAAGACTATGACTAAAACTAAATCAAAATTTGCTGTCAAAATTAACACTGTATGTGGCGCGATGCAACGCAACACGTAAAAAGACAGTATAAGTCATTATAATCCGTAATTATGTCCCCACTGGATGCAACAAATGCCTCGTTTATAATGGGTTTTAATGTTTTTGTCTCGTCGCTCCGGCCGGACACGGCATCACAGTATGGTAGGGGCGTAACATTTCCGTCACACACTTGAGGTATTCGGCCAATCACAACGCACTGGATAGCTGGCCAATCAGAGCACACCTCGCTTTTCAGACCAATGAGCTTTGTAAAAATCAACGCGTTTCAGAAGGTGGGGCATAGAGGAGGAATAATAATGTACAGTATGTGGAAAATGTGTTTTTTTTAACCTTAAACCGCAAAAACATTTCATTACACCAAATTTTTAACAATGTCATATGACCCCTTTAACTATTTCAACCAAATGTCACACCACCACAAAAGTTCAAACCATCTACTTTCTAAAGCTCATCCTTCCTATGTTTGTGCTCCAGTACTGCTTGAAAAGTAGATCACATGACCGATCTTTCCATTGTCTGGTTTACATGCAATGTTTTCTTTTGATTTTGATTTCATATGGAAAGAAGAATATTTACATAGTTTTGTCTACAGCACATTTTCCATTTCCGTTTCTGATTTTCAGTGCTGAAACTAGTTCTCTAAAAACATTTTCTGGTAGCTATGCCTCTACTGTGTCCTTAAAGTATAGCCTATATAATAATAAGTGTTCTTGGGATAAATAATATTTGTTGTGATCTTGGTATGAAAATGTTTTTTTCTATTTAGCGGACTCTGAGGCAGTGGAAGTATTGTGGCAAGTGCGTACCCAGCGGCGGCAGACGGAGCCTGATCTGCCGGACACTGTGACGCGTCTCACCACACCTGAGGGCAGTATTGTGTACCTGGTTGGCACTGCCCACTTCAGCGACAGCAGCAAGAAGGATGTTTCCACTGTAAGAACTGGCTTTCTCCTTTTATGGACTAACAACCAATGTTTGAATGTAAAACTACTTATAAGTTGGGTGGGCGATATGGCAAAAATATCACATCACGATTTTTTTTCAGGAAAATCACGATTCACAATTTTATCATGATTCTTTGTCATATTGGTTATACAATTTTGCAAGTTGTCTGAGCAGTACAACCAAACTAATTTCCCTATTTTAAAAACAAAGCCTTACAAGGTAACAAAATATAAAATAATGACCGATATTTAGGCCAAAGTGGGTGAAGATAAAAAAAATCTGTCATTTTATCTTTGTTATTTAAAAAAAAAAAAAGAACAAAGATGCACATTACAAATGCACATAATATACAAATAAAACAAACAGTGCTTTATTTTTCAGGTGTTTTTAGCAGTAGCATTCATGAAATTGAATGAACAAATGTAAAAATAAAACACTATATACACTTCACTGTATGAATTATACATTGATTCTTATTAAAGCAACTGTATTAAAGTTCTTCAGGCAAGAGCAGTGAGTGATATTTTTCTTTGTGTTTTGGTGTTTTATTAACATTAAAGAGATAGTTCACCAAAAACAAGAAAAGAATTCTGTCATCATTTATTCACTCTCAAGCTGTTTTAAACCTGAATAAGTTTCTTTCTTCTGTTGAACATAAAAGTTCATTTGAAGATGCGGGTAACCGAACAGCTGTTGGTCCCCAGTGACTTCCATAGTATTTTGTTCCTACTATCAAAGTCATTGGGGACCAGCAACTGTTTGGTTACCCACATTCTTCAAAATATCTTCATTTGTGTTCAGCACAAGAAAGAAATTAATAAAGGTTTGGGGCAACATGAGAATGAGTTAATAACAACAGAACTTTTGGGTGAACTATCCCTTTAATTATAAGCGGCAGCGTGTTTTTTTTACTATTAGGCTGCTGTCCTTTTAAGACCTGCACCCATCTGTTCAGGCATGCATAAGTTTATCTCTCAACTGTGTACTTTCACTTTAGACATAACCAACTGTTTGTATGTAAACCTTGTGTGCTTTTGATAGTATTAGCGCAATCAGACACCAAAGATAACTTAGTCTAGTAATCAGACGTTGCTTGACAGGCTTTTTAGTGTGTGCGGGCTTCAGGTGTCAGAACAGCCCGCGAATGAATGGTTTAACCGCAAGGCTTTAAAACACATACAAATAATGTCGTTTTGTGATTGCGAATAAGTGCAGTATTCCGTGAGTGTAACTCTACCACTGAGTTAACATTTAATGTGAATGTATGTTGCATTGTACAGTATATTGAGACTGAGGCACCAGAACTGCAACTAATAGAATGTGCGCTGTAGAGCGTTACTAATCATGGAGACATTTTAATCATCCACGATCAAAAATCCTGATATCGCACACCCCTAAGTTCTACTGATTGATTAAATGCTGTATTGATTTGTTGCTTTTTGTTTTTAGACGATCCGCGCGGTCCAGCCAGATGTGGTGGTGGTGGAGCTATGCCAGTACAGAGTATCCATGCTTAAGATGGATGAGAAAACGCTGCTAAAAGAGGCTAAAGACATTAACTTGGAGAAGGTCCAGCAAGCCATTAAACAGGTCAGCCACAAAACCCAAGACTGTGCTGACATAGTTATTAAATTGTCAAACACATTCCTCTGCATTCATTTATCGACATGTAACTAGTCTAAACTCATTTCTACTCTGTTTTGTTGTTTTTTTCCCCCCGCATTTTTCATGTCAGAATGGAGTGATGTCTGGCCTCATGCAGATCTTGCTGCTCAAAGTCTCGGCTCACATTACAGAACAGCTGGGCATGGCCCCTGGAGGAGAGTTTAGAGAAGCCTTTAAGGAGGTCAGTGTGAATGCACATGCTCTCGCTCACTTACACAGTCCTCATGGTCCTGACATGCACTGTAACTCATGCACTCGTTTCTGACTCCTAGCAGATGTCACCAATTATCAGAGAACAATAAATGCACATAGTCATGAAACCTGTGGACACCGCAGTGCATGTCACAACAAAGACTGATCTGCATAAATAAAATATGCATTTCCTTCTGTTCTACCTAATGCAGGCAGGAAAAGTGCCCTTCTGTAAATTTCATCTTGGGGATCGGCCCATTCCAGTAACCTTTAAGCGTGCAATAGCTGCTCTCAGCCTGTGGCAGAAGGCTCGTCTGGCCTGGGGCCTGTGCTTCCTCTCTGACCCCATCAGGTACAAGTCTACACCTCTTAGTCTTTTTATGCACATTGATCACTCCTTGACATTTTTGAGAAGTCTCTTAGAATCTAGAACTTCATATGGTGTCTTAAAAACGAGACAGGAAAAACACCAAGACACGACAGCCAAAGATGCAGGTCTGCATGCGTACATAAAAAAAAAAAAAAAAAAAGTTTTGCAAAATGGATTGCTGTGGGCTGGAAGCAATAAGCTTATCTTCAATTATAAGAAATAAACCAAATAATAAGTTGACATAATATATATATATATATATATATAAGTTCTAAAGACTCTGATTTCTTGTGCCACAGGTAAATCTTGAATTTATTTGAGGGTTTTTTTCAGCACAAATTGATATACAATTATTTTTTATTTAATTTAGACACATTTATTGTTAATTCAATATTAAAGAAATATAAAAAGTAATTGAATTGATTGACAACCTTCATATTTTTATTGTTAGTATTTTTTTTAATCTGCATAAAGGCAGTGCTGCAAATTGGTGTATAAATACATAAATTAAATTATATATTATATACAGTTCTTTAAATAAAGCCTTACACTAATGATAATGTTTTTTTTTTTTTGCATTACATTAATGAGAATTGAGGGGGGGTGAGGTTTCAAGCTTAAATTAAGCACGAAATTCCAACAAGCTTAATGAAGCCTTGACTTAGGACCGTTATTTTAATGACAATTAATTACTGATGTTAAAATAATGGTCCTAAATTTTGGCTTCATTTTGTTTAAGCAAAACTTTTTCTTATTGTGGGTGAAATATAGCCTGGACATGCTCTTGTTTGGTTGAAATTTACATGAATCTGATTTTGATGTGTATTTTTGTTCTTATCAGCAAGGAGGATGTAGAGAAGTGCAAACAAAAGGATCTTCTGGAGCAGACCATGTCGGAGATGATCGGCGAGTTTCCAGCCCTCCACCGCACTATTGTTGCAGAACGAGACATCTACCTCACACACACACTTAGACAAGCAGCGCGCTGTGTGGAGGCGCCTCCTAATGCTGAGAGTGAGTACTGCATGCCGTGCTAATGATACTAATTTGATTTAGAAAAATATCTTGAATTTAAAAATACATATTCTGGTATACTTAGTGTTGTTATTGTTAAAAGGATAGTTCACCCAAAAATGACATTCATTTACTCACCCTCATGTCTTTCCAAATCTGTGTGACTGTTTTTCTTGCATTCTTCTCTATTTTGTTTTGAAGAATGTTGGTAACCAAACCGTTTCGGTTCCTATTGACTTCCATTGTATTTTTGTCCATGTTTGGTTACCACCATATCATCTTTTATGTTCCACAGAAGAAAGTAAGTCATACATGTTTGGAAAGACATAAGGATGAGTAAATTATACAAAAGCTTATTACAAAATTACTCAAATTAAAAAGCAAACTAAAATATTAAAATAAACGCTAATTCAAAATAATAAATATATAGGATAATAGTATATAAATAATGCTAAAATAAAACTGCCAGTGCTTCATTCAAGCAAGAAACATATTTGGAGTCATGTTACTTGTTGTTACATGAAACCTCTCGTTCATATGCTCTTTTTTTTTTTTTCCTCAGAAGTGCCTGCTGTGGTGGTTGGAGTGGTCGGGATGGGTCATGTTCCTGGAATTGAGAGGAACTGGGATAAAGAGCTCAATATTCATGAGATCATGAGGTACGTACTGACACAGTTGCATGTACTTTGGTATCTAATAGTACAGTAAAGTATCATGACAAAAATCTTTTTCTTTTTCTCTTAGCGTGGCTCCACCATCTCGCTTTGCCTGGGTAGTACGCAACGTGTTGAAGGGAGCTATGTGGGGGCTTCTGGGTTATGCCTGCTTCCGTGCCAGCAAGGGCGTGGGGAGGGCGTTACTCTCCTTTCCGACAGTCCAATCATTGCTTGAAAATATACAAAAACCTTCCGTTTGACCCTTCTTTTATTGGCGCAGACACTGAACACCAATAGCCTTAACTACAGGATGGTGGTTGGGTAAAGGGGAAGATTAGAGGCAAACATCCTCTCCATCCCATATGAAATAAACAATGGGGTGGAAGCTTTTGACTAGCTCTCTACCTCCTCAACTCTCTGTCCATCTGCTCTGTGTACTTGTGGACGCAGAGCTGTACTGCCAAAGAAATCGGAAATCGTACTTTCTTTCCCCTTTTCCTCATTCTTAAAGTATGACCTACGAGGAAATTAGCTGCAGTGGGATTTTCCACATTATCATTCAACTTGAACTGAAGTTTTTTTGTTTGTTTTTTTGGCTGTGATTTATTCTGTTGGTTGACTCCTGCAAGCGGTTGATGCATTTTGTTTCCCAGCAGGTGGTACTGTTTCAGCAGTCCAGTACTGTTAATCTGCGACCTACCGTAATCTGTAGTTCATTAAGAATGATTGGTAAAGGCATTTTATTTTATTAATGGAACAGTATCCCGGAATTCTTTTTTAAAACCTGAATTGCGCAATAGGACCATTTGTGAAGAAAAGCATAACTCTAGATTTTATTGAAAGTATGACTTGATAAATACATGTAATGCACATTGGGAAAATTATTATGACCAAAGTATTTGTGGTTTCATTGATTGAATTTGTATGTTTCTGACAAAAAGGCTTAAAATGAGTGAAACTGAAACAACCCCGCACGGTGTTTAAGAGCTTCAAGTCACATCCAGTAATCTTCACTCTATGTGGGGAAGCATGGTTGCTTGGTTTTTCAAGTTACCTGATAAGCCCAACATAAATTTTGCCCAGGCTACCTGTTAAGTGCCTCCTACTACATGACCCGGAAAGGGCTAAAAGGAACAGAGACGGGTCAGGGTGTTTTGCTCTCACTCCATATGGTCATAATAAATGGTACTATTAAATCTGGAGTCCACTGTTTCACTCACACAGCTTCATAATTTTGTTCTTGCTAATGGAATGGAATGGTTTCTAGAAATTAGAGAATTATGTAATTAATTAGACAAGCGGCATTGTGTTTATGCAATATTTTGTTTTAAGAGGAGAGATCCAATCAATTTTTAAGAAACAAATGGCTGTTCCCCCGAATTTAAGTATTTTCATTACTGTCTTTTGCTACTGTTCATAGAAGCGGAGTTGCCTAAAGGTTAATTTCACTAAATTGGAAACAACTTAATGTTATTGCTTACAGTATGATATTACTCTGACACAGAGAATGAAATAAGACTTTTTTTTTTATACATTCATCATGATATTCTTCATAATAATTCACCACTAACTCAAAAGTCATGAGTCACATAAAAACATCAAAATGACTTGAAACTATAAGTGTAGAATAACCAAATGCAAGAAACCAAGAGTAAGTGTAGAGAACCATTAAAAAAAGTAAAGCTGACAAGAAAATGCTTATAACAGAAAAGACATCACCAGGATGGGCCATCAGGGCACAATTTGGGAATCATGCTTTATATGGATGGATGTAGGAAAGGTGTTTCTGCTGTTTGTGTGCTTACGTTTACATTTATTCATTTGTCTGCCAAATTAATAAATGTAAAGTCTTATACAACTGGAATTGCTGGTTCACATGTTGACTTTGTTTTTCCATGTAGCTTTATACAACTGTGTCTTATAGGGTGACTGAAAATCTATTTTAAATGTGGCGTCTAGGTCACAGGCACATTTGACGCACATGACACTTGAGTGTGGTGGGGAATGCTAATGCCATCTGTTGTTCTTTTAAATGTTTAGATGCTGAATGGAAATTGCTCTATAGTTTTGAACTATAGTGGGCTCAAATTAAGATGTGACTAAAGCTTTGCATGCATGCCATGTGCATTTACAGGTATGCTGGAGAAGGAAATGACTATATGGATGTATCTGCATGATGTCTTGTGTAGATGGTTTGTTGGGATTATTTAATTGAAGTTTTTACAACATATTGTAATGATTTAAAATATATATTAGCATTCTGAGATATTTGTCAGTGGCCTGGTGCTTAATGAGTATTTCTATTTGCATAACACCGGTCCCTGTATTTAAATGTTATCGTAAATATGGTGCAAGGTGGTTGCAAACTAATTAAACTGGTTGACTAACTGATTAATTTAATACAATGTATTTTTAAAAAATCTACTGATCCACTGACCCAGTAGTCTAGTTCTCCTTCTGTAACATTTGTCTTGAATATCGCTGTCTTCCTGAAAACTAAAACTGTCTTCCTGTTAACGTCATGCAGTTTTACTTTTTGATCATCTAGATCTGCTGCACTTTTTAGGTGAGAAATGCCATGGTCAAAGGTATTTGATACATCTCTTTGAATATCCTTCAGCTTTACTGCTCCAATTTCGTTTTTTTCTAACCATTGTTAACTGTGGAAAAGGGGAATAAACGGTCCCACTTCTTTTGTTAGTGCTATCATTTTTTTTTTCCATTTTCATGAAACCAAATAGTTAATGCTCAAATATATCTCATATATCTTATATTCTTAAATAAATTTTCTAACATGTTATATTTGTCTTTCATATATCTTCAGCTCTTAAGCTTGTACAGTAAGTACTTTATATAGTGTACATGTATAAAATGGACAGCCCCTGAGTTAAATATATGAGTGTCACAGCAAAGGGTCTGAATACTTAGGACCATGTGATATTTCAGTTTTTCTTTTTTAATACATCTGCAAAAATGTCAACAATTCTGTTTTTCTGTCAATATGGGGTGCTGTGTGTACATTAATGAGGAAAAAAATTAACTTAAATGATTTTAGCAAATGGCTGCAATATAACAAAGAGTGAAAAATTTAAGGGGGTCTGAATACTTTCCGTACCCACTGTATATATATATATATATAGACACACACAATTATACTCCGTTACTGACTACAGATTGCATGATGAAAATTGTAGTTAGTAAGGGAATCTAGGTTACTCATTTTAGGTAAGGTATTCTGACTACTTTTTAGATTACATTTCATCTAACTTGTTTTAAACTTACCACTAAATGTACCATATTGATATAAAAAAGTAAAGAGAGAAAAAATATAGTCCATTGTTTAAAATCATCTTCTTAAAATCCATTAAACATTACACAAGGTTTACCCAGTTTAGGCTTAATGTAAGAATTGTAGTGGGTTTGTGAGTTGATAAAAAGCTAATAATTAAATCATGAAAATGTCAAATAAAAATAATTTTAACTCTTGAACACTAAAAATAGAAATATTTGTTTTGCCTGCATGTCAGTGTGTCAGAGAGAACAGTAAACATGTGAATGCGTTGTTGAGATTCCAAGTAATTATTTAAGGGGTTTGGGAATACATTACATGAACAAACATTAGTAAACATGAAAACAGCAATGAGATTACAATTCCCAAGTCTTCCAGGTATGAAATATTTTTGTTCAGACTTCCAGTATCAACAGTTATTGAAGGTTACTGTATGATCACGACGTATTTTTTCACAGCTACACATCACCAGTAATTTGGATAATTATTTGGTTCATACCCCCCAAATTCAGAAGCATGGTTTGCAAATTTATTTACATGACATCTACATGGCCATTCTATATTATAAATAAAGTCAAAGCTAAATGCTGTAATTTTCACTTTTCAGTGCGGATGAGTAAATGTTCTAATCCTACGTGTTTGTTTCTAGGGGGAACAAAAACAACGACGGACCAGATTTCCGTGGACGTTTGAGAACATTTTGGGTGCGTCCGAAATCGCATACTGCTTAGTAGGTTATGGCAAGCCGTTTTAGCATTTAAGTTGGTTTTGACTATCCATAAATATCATTTAAGATAGGAACAATTGTATTTTGACGAGTCATAATTATAATTCGACTAGTCACAATGACAATTAGAGATATCTGCAATTATAATTGCACTAGTAAGAAATCGGATTAGAGATATCTCTAAATACTTTATGACTAGTCAAAACTCCATTGAAGATATCTGTAATGACCTCATAGATATCTTCAATAGGGCGTCACACATACGCAAAGGTAATTAGAGATATCTCTAATTCAGTTTCGACTAGTCACAATTATATTTGAAGATATCTGAAATGGACCTGCTCAGCTCCTCCCAGACTAATGTTTAGTGCTAACTGCTAACAACAGTGGTCTGCTTTTCTTGTCACGGAGAGAAAAGCTACTGGATGAATTACTTCAGGGGTTATTAAATAATATCTGGATGCACCCATTTGTGGTAAAAGGTCTCCAGCGTGCATGTATGTATAGCGCTGTGATTTTCATTGAATCATGTTGCAAAACGGACCAAATGCAGTGTAATGTTCAATAAAGGCAGAAAACCGCAAACTGCTCGTCTGAAATATTTATTATACGTTTAGACATAATGAAGAACAATAGAATTATACAATAAAAACATGAAAAATAGTACAAATAAATGCATGACGAACAAGAACACTGCTTCATAATCAGATGCAGTCAAAAAAAGGTGAAGGCTGATTTTAAAAAGATTACAATTTGATAAAAGTTTAACTGGCATTGATGACATTTATTAGTGGGTTACATTACGTTGTGTATGGATTCAGGTTTACTTGTGTCGTTATGGCAGCTT